AAAGCTAAAGTCACCAAGAAGAGTGGAAAGAAGTCCAAAGCTGCGTCTCCGAAGAAGCCCAAAGTCATGAAAGCGAAGAAATCGGCAAAGAAAGCCGCTTCTAAAAAGTAAAGTGAACTCAGGTCAATCACGTCAGAAGAGTGTTGATGTTTCAAACTGTTATGAGACTGTTTGAATCTTTGTGGTTTTAAACTGTACATTGATAATTTTAGCAACATTTCAGGCTTGTACTGCTGTTGAAATACTAGCCTGCGAGCAAACTCTCTGGGGGGGCTATTTTTCCCCCCCCCCCCTCAACCCCCCAGAGCAACCTAAAGAGCTTGCTAGGATATTGACTGAAATGCCAATTTAAAATTGACGTAGATGCAAAAACCGGCGAATATGAGGAAGGTACTAATCACGAAAGCAGCTCTTCTCAACAGGTACCGTTTCGACCTTTTACTGTTCAGAGAATAAGATTGTTAGTTAAATATTGTCTGTAAAATAGAAAGAAAAAGCCTGAGAGCGTCATTTGTCAAATCTGAAAATACGTTGTAAGAAAATGACGTGTATAGAATGTACATAAACTTGTAGCTTTTCAATATTGTTTCACAAATAACAATAAAAACTTAACCCTTAAGCTCATACACAAAACCAGAACGATTTTACCATAAATCAAAAAGTACGAGAGAATTCGTCATCACAGCAGGCATCGCGGTATACAATCAGCAATCGATGAAATCGATAATCATTCGGTTAAAATCGGTACCAATTTAATAATCGAATGATATCGGAAACCGGTAAACGAAGATTCTGACATTCATTCATCGAATCGGACTGCCAACTGATGTTTATATCGGCTGTTTTCGAATCCATTCATACGGGTTCATACAGCGACTATCATTAGCGATCCATAAAGTACGTTGTAAGATCTTTATCAAAATAGATAGTATTCGTAGAATGAAAGGTTTAGTATCTAAAGAGAAACTGTGGTGTTGCGTTGGTTGGGGAGCGAAGCTCAAAGCGGGCAGATCGGCCACCGTAGGGAGATTGAGAAACAGTTGACCAGCCTAGTATCAGGATTTGGAGAAGTAAGGAGAAAAGAAAAACAGCGAAGGTCCCCTGCCCTCCCCTCCTCCCTAATCCGTAACGAAGGCCTGATACTCAGCTGGCTATCAGTTGACAAAACCAAATTTTGGAGTCCGCGGATTTGTTGCCATTTGCACATCTCCCATTATACACCATATTTGCCCCCAAGCGTTTGCATAACCACTGGGTATTACAGTCGTCCCAAGAGAAATTGAAGATAAAAGCTTATGCAAAATTTTGGGGGCAAACAAAGTGTATCATTGGAGATGTGCAATTGGCGAATGGAAATTCAAAATAGAAAGAAAGCTCGCGGGGGACGATGGGAAGAGGTCGACTTCTTCCCTTTTCCCTTTCCGTCGTCCCCTAAGCGCTTTTTTTCCCTCACCCCATCCTCCCCTCCACTACGACACAAAGAGGCGGTAGCAGTCGTACCCTGGGTGCGAAAGACTTTTCCTCTGCGATTTCGGTCACTTTTACGTTCTTCACCCCGAAGCATACCGCCACTTGCGAGAAAAACCTCTGGTACCAAGGATATCGGATGGCTAATACCAACTGTTACCAACAGCTACCGAATTTCCTCGAATAATAGCCGTACCTCGATTAATCGCCACCCTCGAATAATCGCCCCCTTAGAAGGAATATTCATCATAATCGCCTCCCTCGGATAATCGCCTTCCCTTCTATTATCAATGCTGCGTTCTGATTGGTTGAGCTACTACTAGGCTATATGTTATAGCCCACTATTAGCGAAAAGCGCGGGCTTTGAAAACCCAAACAATGGCGGCTGAATCGCGCTTTGCTTGCTAAAGTTGTTTTGTCTCGATATTTTCGCCCTCATGACCTCTTGAGTCAATAGCCCATTCGGACTTCGGCCTCATCGGCTATTGACTCAGAGCCCATTCGGGCTCGAGGAATAATTGTTAAATAGCTTCTTTGTATATGTTCAGCACTGGAAAAATGTGTAAGTTTAGCAGAACCTTATACAACAGACAGTTAATTCAGTTATTCGTTGTCCGTTTTATAAGATATCAAAATCGCGTGAAAGTAATTACGTCGTCCATAGCTACTTAGTATCTGTTTTTAACATCTCCTTACAGTCTCAGTACAATGTTTAGAGCTGTGCACAGCATGCATTTTATCTCAGTATCACTGGGATAAAGCGTTTCATTTTTGAGGAAAATTTCACTTTCTCATCAAAACAATCACTGACTGAGTGAGACTCGGAGTAGTATAATTAAATTTAGTGTTCAGTACAGCAAACGGGGTTATGTTCTGTGAAATTTATGTGCAGTCTGCGGCCCACATCACCACGATCCACGATTTATTCATTTATTTTATTTTCAAGTTTCTTTTAAACCGATCCTCGATCCCCTATTCTCCATCACCAATCCTCGATCCTCGATCCTGATTTTCCAGTAAACCTAGAAGTTTTGCTCATTAAGATCATTGTTTTTTTCGACCACTGAAGTAATCACTTGTTCCGAAGTAATCAACGCTTTCAAGCAAGTGGACCGACCCGTTCCGGAAAAGCTCGATAAGGGATCTATTCTATGGACATGAAGTGCTGCAAGTAGAGTGCGTGATAGTCTAGTACAAAGGTGCCCGTATAAACACATCCGTGTTACATACGTATTTAACGCACGTAAATTTAAATCACGTAAATAAATAAAGGTAGAGGCAAGATATTAAGTGTTGAGCCAAACGTGAAGTTGAGCGAGTTTCTACTTTCACGCTTACGTGCGACCCTTCATACATTGCCTCTATTTTATTTGCGAACGTAAATTTTACGCACGTTCGCACGTAAAAATTACGCGACAGCGGAAATCAACCCTTAGACAGGTAGTTGAAGTTGCGTCCAGTAGTAAATAATCTAAAAAAAAAAAAAAATACTTGATATCTCAAGTAGCCTGCATTGCAGGCGTTTTCTTCGGGCACGCAAATGTTTTTGCTCGCGAAAGCGCCATGATGAAACCGAAGAGAGGAGGAAAAGGGGCGAGTCCCCCCTTTCCTTCTTTCGCCTTCGCACCAATCTTCCACTGTCATAAAATCAAAGATGGCGGCTACAACAATGCGAACACGAACAAGGTTTCGCCCACCCAAAATACGCCCGCACTGGAGGCTCATCTCAAGTATTTATAAAGCGCAACACGACTTCACGTCTTAACAACTGCAGAAATCTATTTTTTTTTGGGTACCATCCTAATTTGAATATATTTAACCGTAGATCCCCACCTTTACTATTTTCTGAAATCTAACACATAGAATGGATAAAATATAGATTTCTACAATATAACGTAAAATTTTTCATCCTATTTGGGGGCATATTTATAATGCCACGCCCCTTTGAGGTCTGAGTCGAAAATCGGTCTGTTGCCATACATTTTTTGTTAAAAAAATCGGACGACCGCGTAGTGCGCATTAGTGCCTTTAATCACGAGAGTGATTAAACACCACCAGTCAAGTTTATAAGTTGATCACTGCCAACCTTTGCCCACGTTGATGACATATTTATAGAAGGCAGAAACTTGTTTCCGTGTACGTTACTCGATATGGCAGCTGTTACGTAAACAGCTTTAAACGATTTTCTTGGAATGAGTTGTTTTCACTGATTTAATTTCATTCTCGGAAATTTTCCGCGCAAAATTAATGCACAAAAAAAAAATATAAGGACGGAAAAAAGGTTTCCGAGAAACATGCGTCGAGTTTCCTGGAACTGGCCATCCAAGGGATGCAGTTTTAATTGTAAGATGTCTCAGATGTAAATAAAATGTAAATTTGATTTATAAAAATCTCTGCTTGATTACAGTTTATTGTTGTTCTCTACTGTCATATTGATAAAATGCATTTCCACAACTATATAAAATGGAAATGAAATAAACAGAACAACGGCACGACTAAACACCCTTTATTAGCTTTAAGATTAGGCATTATTGGCTACCTGTGATTATCAAACAAAAATAGAGGACAGGTAAGGCATAATATTAAACACGGTCGTCAATATACATCACTATTATAAATAGCACAACAGCGGCACGACTAAACACCCTTTATTAGCTTTGAGATTAGGCATTATTGGCTACCTGTGGTTATCAAACAAAAATAGAGGACAGATGATGCATAATATTAAACACGGTCGTCAATATACATCACTATTATATATAGCACCTGTATAAAAAGCACAACAGCGGCACGACTAAACACCCTTTATTTAGCTTTGAGATTAGGCATTTTTGGCTACCTGTGGTTATCAAAGAAAAATAGAGGGCAGATGTTGCATCACATTAAACACGGTCGTCAATACCGTATACGTCATTATTTTAAAATAGAACCTGTCCGACCTGTCCATTCACGTGACGTGAAGATTAGGAAAGTTCCGATCATGATTGGCTGGCCACTGAGCTTTTACCAAGAACACGATAACTTGTTCTGGCCTATTTAGTGTCGAGTCTAAAAAGCCTACACGTATTGATAAGTCGTCAGTGCTGCTGTGGTGATAGTCAATTTGCTGTTATAAGAGTTGAAACGAATATTGCGCCGACCCAAACTTTGTGGGAATCGACTGCAACTATGGCAAGTTCATCTTCATTTTCATTGTCGTCGATCGACTCTGGCTCGGAATCTGTATACGACATCTCGGAAGAAAAAACCAACGGCACTAGGTTGGCACGATTACTTGTCGATGGGGGAACTCACGTTTTAAGAAAGTTTTTAGATGCTGTTTACCCAGAGCCAAGATTACTCGCTAAAGAGTTGAAGAAGAACCGGTTAAGTTTCAAAATCTCAAGTCAAAACGCGTGATATCTGACCATCAGTGGAAAACGTTATTTCCGACTTCGGGTCTACCGGACTCAAAGAAGTTTGATATAACACTTTTGCATTTGTTGATTAGAGAAGTCTGTTATCTACCTGTGCCACTAACAGGCTGGCATAAAATGCCTGCTGATGATGACCAAAGCTTGGAGGCAAACATTGCCAGAATCAAATGCTTCCGAAATGAGCTATGTCACAGTGTTTCAACCAGCATCCCTAATGAGGAGTTCGAAGACAAATGGAATACAATAGCTTCGTCTTTAGAGGCAATTAAAATTGGCGTCTACCGAAAGAAAATTCAGGCTCTCAAGAATGATTCGATTGACCATGAAACCCACAAAAGGGTGGAGGAAGAAGTCGAGAAGTGGCAACAGTTTCAAGAGCTAGAAGATATTAAGACAATTTCTGAACTTGACAGCTATTTTCCGGATATTCTGCCACACGAGCGCATGTTTGGTCGTTCACAAGAGTTACAGGAGGTCGTAAAATGCATTGAAGGTGGAACAGTTTCTGTAGTGCTGATAACCGGGGGTCCAGGATTTGGTAAAACAACTTTGGCCAAAGCAGTTGCTCACGAGCTTGCAAGATCAGAGAATATGAGAAAAGTATTATTTTGCCGCTTACTTTCAAGGAAAACGTTCAACAAAGTGGCCATTGAGACGATCCACTGGTGTGGAAAGAGCTATGCACAGTCCCCCAAAGATCCGGAGCAGTGGCTTAAGAACTGGAGCCGACAGATCCAAATGCAAGTCACTTTTGTTCTCGATAATGCAGATGATATCCTGGAATCAGAACAAAGATCTTCCTTCTTAGACATCTTGCAAGAGATGACGCAATTATCGGAGAAAAAGCTGACATTTGTGATCACTTCTAGAGAACAGTTCAAAGTACGAGATCTGCTGTTTAAGGAGGTCGTGTTATCCTCGTTATCGACGGATCACGCGAAGGAAGTCCTTATCTCTCGCGTAAGCGATAAAGAAATTGGCGAGAATCTTTCCAAAACAGAGGAAATAGTAAAGCTGTGTGGCCGTGTTCCTTTGGCTCTTTGTATTGTCGGATCACTTCTTTCAAACTACACTGAGGAGAGGCTTGTTAATGACCTTGAGAAGGAACCTATGAAGCTGCTGGATGATGGAAACGAGTCGATTGAAAGAGTCATCAAAACGTCTTTTGATCTTTTGTCCAAAGATAAACAGGATTCCTTGGTCCTAATGTCAATCTTCCAGGGATCATTTGATAGCGATGCTGCCGTGGCTGTTATATCACGGGCTTGCTCAGAATCTGGGACCCTGCCAGTTTGCGTTTTGCGCTGCTTAAAGAACAGCTCTCTTGTTGAACAACTAAGTCCTCGCAGATATCAGCTGCATCCTCTAATTCGCGCCTTTGGAAAGAAGATTGGCCAAGCCATTGATCCACAAATATTGGTTGGGGTAGAGAAACTGGCCTGTGCTCACTTCATTTGTATCCTTGCTCAGAACGCAAAGATATTCTGGAGAAAGGACCAATGCAAAAAAGCTATTGACTTGTTCAGTAAGGACGGACATAATTTTGAGCACTTCCTCCAAGTGTACGCCAAAGCAGCGGAAATCCGCGATGAAGAGACCCTTGACAACTGCAAAGAGTTCCAACACGATTTTCTCCAGAATTGCATGTATTTGGAGAAGTGTCTTTCACCCTCGTCTTATACTGACTTTTTGGAAGCGTTGTTGTCCTGTACTGACCGAAAAATTGAACCAGTGCGTGCTGCAGAACTCTTATGTCTTCGAGGACAAGAGAAAAGAAAAGTAGGAGACAAGGAAAAATTAAAAGACTACCAGGTGGACATGCAAGACGCATATAATCTGTACTCTGAGAACAGTGGTAAATTCGAGACAAACACAATGTCGGCAGTCTTCTTGCTTAATAGTTATGCAGACTCTATTTCCAAAAGAGGAGACCCTGCTAACAATCCAAAAGTGGAAGAGCTCAATGGAAATGCTCTGGAGCTCAGCGAATCTCTGGAGAAGGGCCACCCAGAAAGGGCAGAAGCTCTTAAACTTGCTGGTCGATTTGCAAAGCGAGCTGGTAAGCGGTCTGAAGCAGAAATGAAGTTACAAGAGGCATTAATGCTATTTCAGAATATCCTCGGGACGCATTTGAGTACAGTTCACGCCTTGAAGGAAATGGCGAACTTTTATTTCTCTGACCCGACTGACAACGATTTGGAAACAGCTCTCGCGTATTACAAAAGGGCGCTTGAGATGATGAAACAGTTAGGAATGGAAAACAACAACGCCATCATCATGATTTTGAAGAGCTATGGAGTTCTTTTAAAAGAGATAGGAAACTTTCAGGAAGGAACAAAATGCCTCGAACGAGGTTATTTTGTAGCTGACAGAGAGTTAAAACCTGATCACATGTGGAAAGTTATGATCAAGACACACCTAGCCTTGCTGCATGAGAAGAACGGAAAGGAAGAAGATGCCATAGCATCAATGCAAGAAGCCCTTGAAATGTGTAACAGACTTAAAAAGCCGATTAAGCACCTGGGAAATAAGCATAGCAATGACGTCATTTCCTTTGTAAAACGTCATAAAAAAGATTTTCCTAAAAGCAAATTCCCGTTCTAAAGTTTAGCTTGGTTATATTTACTGTAAACTCTCTCTAAAACGGACACATTTGGGACCGGCACTATTGTTTCCGTATTATAGGGGAATAAGCATAGGAATGACGTAACTTCGTTTTTAAAACGTCATAAAGAATATTTTTCCCAAAGCAAATTCCCGCGTTAAAGTTTACCGTGGGTATGTTTAAAACTGTCCCTGGTTTACCTTAAAGATCGGTGAGATGGAGAAGTTACTAAACTAAACTATTCAGTACCGTAACTTTTTTGCTGTGAGCCCCCAGACGAGCACCACAATATACCGTGTGATGGCGGTGGTTCCTTAGGATCCCTGCGTTGTATAATGCTGCATCAATCTCGATTGCAGACGGTCAAACTGTCTCAGGGGATATATTAAAGAATAGGAAATTAGTTATGTTTTATTATTACGCGTCTTTGCCGTCTAGGGCATTAATCGCGACGCACCTTTGACTTCAAGATAAGTAATATGTGTTCTTACTTTTAAGTTCATCTTGCCAAATTCAAACTTAATTGTTGCTGGAAACGTTCATTAAGGCCAGCAACGATTTAATAACCATTTGCAGAGAGGACAGTGTTCTTTTATGAACTTTTATCCGGCTGCCCATAATGGCAACGCTCAATCAAGAATTACTTTCCATCTATGTCAAAAAGGCAAAACATGGCGGACGCAACTTTCAGGTCGTCTAGCGAACAGATTTGGAAGCCGACTTGAAACGACCACAAAATCCCTTATTGGGTGGAGTTATTGGCGCTATATCTTTGCCGAATGATTTTCTGAATACAGTATTCGGATGAGGTAGTTAGCAGAAACAATGCCCTTCCACGGTCCCGACGTCATTTGCAATTCTCGCCGTGTGTGTGAAAAGCCCAGAAGAAAGGAATATGCTATCACTAGATCTCCCTGTCAAGTAGAAACTTATTCACTTGGATAGTTAGAAACTGAAACGTAATTTGCTCTGTGAGTTTTAAGAAACAGAAAATTACTGGTATATAAGGAATGTCCAAAACCCAAAAAGTAGGCTCCATTTCCGTCGCTCAGTCCTCCCCGAGAAGAGACGGAGACTCAGTCTGTACGGGGGAGGAGCACGGGCTCATTTTCCAAACAGCGGCTGATAATCGATCCTCCCCAAAAAATTGACTCTGTCACGTTTTATATGCGTAGAAAGAGAATAATTTTTCGAACTTCTGGTTAGATCAAATTAGTCACGTTATAACTGTCGTGCTATATTTTTGGGGGTAGAGCTGGATTGAAGGCGGGAATGGGGAGCTTTGTGTAAAGTCCCATGAAAAGGCTATTTTTTAAGGGGTGATAACGGTAAAAGTTACTTTTCAGCCCCGGTTTAAATACGCGCAGTAGGCAGACCGTAGCCAAGGAATCTAATCCGAACGTTGAACGTTTCATGAGACGGACCAAACTTCGTGAGTAAAGTTCATGAAAATTCCGCATCTGGCTCTGTTAAGTCCGTCTGAATGATCGCGGTCCAACACGTTCTTATCCGCCTACTTCAGACGAACAGAACAGAACGTCTGAAGATCGTCTCCGGTCTTCGCATGCGACCAATTTGTAGGATGATCTGTAAGTAGCCTCGTTCGGGAGAAAATTTAGCGAAATTTATTACTGACCAGATTCAGCTGATTGGTTCGACGCGTCCTAAGTTCGATGTCTGACCAAAAAGAAGATGTTAACTCAATTTAGGTCGACCAAAATAAGAGTTTGGTTCGTCTCATAAAAAGTGATGATGTGCCTTCACAAGGTGGCCAACATTTTAAAACCCCATATTGGGTTTCTTTAGTTACGGGTTCCTGGTTACTAGTATCAATTTGCTGACGCACCCAAAAGTGGAGCTTTGCAGGTTTCACTGAAAAGAAAAAGGAAAATAGACATGGTCGACAAATGCTCCATGGGGGTGGTCAGGTTTAGTATTGTGTGAGCTACTTATTATTTGCTCTTGCTAATTTTTTTTTAACATTCAGCCGTTATTGAACAAATATAGCCGCTATAGGTATAAACAGGAGCCAATGATAATGATATTAGTATTATTATTATTACATTTTGATAGAGCGCACATTCACTAGCTGTTCTTGGCTCTTTATAACAATATTTGAAAAATAATAATAATAACTCATACTTAATTAGACATCTCGCCCTTTGCTTGTAACCTTCTTTAGCATGTCATTTGAGAGCGTCACTATTTTGCCTTTTTTTCCCGTTAACACTGTACCTTAATGGTAACACTAGAGATGTAAAATAAACAACTAAATATTGCCTTTTTCTTCGTACTTATTTACTGAAAATATCCTGCGGAAAACGCAGGAAAATGACTGATCAATTCCCCAGGGAAACTCCTCCTGAAAAACTCCTTGGGCCAAATATTTAAACGAAGTCTAACTTAAAGGGGCTGTGTCACGGCAGTCCAGTTCATTTTGTTTAATTTTGTCAATTACTCGCCCTCAATCGCTATGGAACTTAAAGTAAGCAAAGACATTTCATGTAAATGAGAAAATCAGAAATTCGAGACAGACAAATATGTCTCTTGAGCATTATTTTTGAAGTTGCAAACAGCAGAGATAAACTTTGAAAAACTGTTAGGCTGAACAGTTTTCAAAAACCCTAATTTAAATCCGTTTCAATCTTCTTCAGTTTTGCCCATCCGTGGAATCTGTTGTATCTGTTGTGTTACTTTAACCTTCCTTTAATGTTTTAAGCGGTTATTTTTATGTTTCTCTTACTTTAAAAGGCATTTTGTAATAACCTAATACAGTTGAATTTCGTGACACAGCTCCTTTAAGCCGCGGTTTAACGAATCTTTGAGCCTCCAGATCTCTTCTTTGGTGAGTTGTTTTAAGAAGATAAATGCGTTTCTTATCTTCTCTATATGCTTTCATAAAATTGTTCACAATAACTGATCTTTAGATAAAATCGTTTGGCAAATTGAAAATGACTTAGAACGCGGTTTTGTTAAACACTGGCTAAGCGACGTTTAAATATTTGGCCCCTTGGGTTCCTTGTGGCTACTGTTTAAACGCCTTTTGTACAGGAAAATCTGAAGCAAAAAAAGTTAAGGCAACAATTTAGCTGAATTTTCTATGCACGTGAATTGAACAGAAGTCCAGAATTGTCACATATGTTCTTCCAAAAATCGTAAAACCTTTTGGGATGTGCGAATGTTCGACTTTATCGGCTCAGTCTGTGTTTGAGGAAGGGAGATGATATATCTCGAGGTGGAGAGACGTATAGAGAAGACCATAGCCGAAGAAGTGTAGCGACCTGTGGGGAATACATTTTATGCACGTTTTGAAAATTTACATATGAACTTTAAAGTCTTCGGAAGACAGCCTTTAATAGAACCTGCAGTTTTAGCGCTGCGGTTCACATTTTTATGCTCTCTTTCAGTATCAAGAACCCAATATTTGAAAAAAAAAGGTTTAAATCTTTTTTAATACCTTGAAATATGTGACTTTATTCATCTGAATATTTTTAATAACGTATTAGCAGCACGAGCATTTCTAATAAGCTTCCTATTCGTTACTATTAAAAGTACATATAATGCAACCTTTTTGTACAAAATTGCACAATAGCCAATTTTTAGTTATTTATTTCTTCAAAAAGACCGTTTTTAAGAATAAATATGTTTGAAATTTAAGAAAAATTGAGAGAAGAGTGTTTTAGTTTTTAATTAACAACGCAACAATGCAACCGGTCGACGCGACGCCATCAAAAGACGCTGTTGCTTTAAAAAAAAAATCTGCATGAGATGTTCAATCACGCAATGCGATTTTCAAAAGTTTTAAGATACCGCTTTTATTCTGAATTTAGTTACAGTACAAGAATTAGTTGTTTTATGATATTTATGCCAAAACTAACTTGATAAAGCCATATACCTTATTCGAAGGCGGTCGCAACCGCACATCCATAATTTAAATATGTAAAATTCAAGCCATTTCGGGTAAACAAATTGGCTCTTGTGTTTCTACCCCTGTCTAAAATTTGAAATTTCTCGTTTCCTTTACAAAGATGATTAATAAACTTATATCATATTTTTTCACGAAATAACAAACTATCGTCGAGAAGAAAATCGGAGGCATACGTTTTTTGTTGAACATGGAAAAATCCTTATTTTTGATAGATGCGGGTAAAGTTTCAGTACGGTAGTGATAGATTTTGTCTCAATATTTTCTTTGCGTGGGTTAATAAGCGATCCCTATTTCACCAGACTGTTCTTTTTAAAGTTGCATTTTGATACATGGACAACTTGAGGGATATCTGGTGGTAAAGAGTCGATTTTAAAGAAAAATAAAATATGAAACAAGCACAGAACAGAAGTCACTCGTAGATATAGCTCAAGCTTTGTATTTGTTTCCTCGGAGGTCCGCTCAATGTCTTGAAAACTAACGTCCTCGCCGATGTTGTCACTTTTCAAACCCTCAGTTCTTCCCTGAAACAGGCTTTGTTGAGATTATCGTGAAAAAGAAAAATAACCATGTCTGCTAAGACTGCCACGCACCCTAAATACATTGATATGATCGTAAGTGCGATAAAAGCACTGGGCGATAAAAGCGGCTCGTCTCGACAGGCGATCAACAAGTACATTGTAAAGGAGTACAAACTCACGGAGAACAATCATCACAGTGCTATGCTAAAGCAGGTGCTCAAGCGGGGATCTGGACCGAACGGTCCGCTTGTTCACAACAAGGGAAAAGGTGCAGCCGGTTCTTTCAAGGTTAAACAAGCTCCAGCGCAGCCTGTTAAAACGGTTGCCAAGAAAGCACCGGCGAAAAAAAGCGCGTCCAAGAAAGGACCTGCCAAGAAGAAGGCCCCTGCTGCTAAAGGAAAAGCAAAGCCCGCGAAACCTGCTGCCCCGGCTGCACCGCCTGCGGAAACAACAGCGCCAGTGGAAGCACCGGCGGCTAAAAAACCCGCCAAACCAAGTAAAGCTAAAGTCACCAAGAAGAGTGGAAAGAAGTCCAAAGCTGCGTCCCCGAAAAAGCCCAAAGTCATGAAAGCGAAGAAATCGGCAAAGAAAGCCGCTTCTAAAAAGTAAAGTGAACTCAGGTCAATCACGTCAGAAGAGTGTTGATGTTTCAAACTGCTATGAGACTGTTTGAATCTTTGTGGTTTTACACTGTACATTGATAATTTTAGCAACGTTTCGGGTTTGTCCTGCTTTTGAAATACTAGCCTGCGAGCAAACTCTCTGGGGGGCTATAACGCCCTTTTCTCCCCCCCTCCCCCCCAACCCCAGAGCAGCCTAAAGAGCTTGCTAGGATATTGGGTGAAATCTTACAATTGACGTAGATTGAAAAACCGGAAGGTACTAATCACGAAAGCAGCTATTCTCAACATGTACCGTTTCAACCTTTTACTGTTTAGAGAAAAAGATTGTTAGTTAAATATTGTCTGTAAAATAGAAAGAAACAGCCTGAGAGTGTCATAAATGACGTGTATAGAATGTACATAAACTTGTAGCTTTTCAATGGTGTTTCACAAAGAACAATAAAATTTAACTGAGTTCATACACAAAACCTGAACGATTTTACCATAAATCAAAAAGCACGAGAGAATTCGTCATCACAGCAGGCATCGCGGTATACAAGCAAGTCATTCGATTAAAATCGTTACCAATTTAATAATCGAACCGGTAAACGAAGATTCTGACATTCACATGCACATGGTCGAAAAGACTTTTCCTCTGCGATTTCGGTCACTTTTACGTTCTTCACCCCCAAGCATCCCGCCACTTGCAAGAAAAACCTCTAGTACCAAGGGTATCGGATGGCTAATACCAACTGATATCAGTTACCGAATTTCCTCGAATAATAGCCGTCCTTCGATTAATCGCCACCCTCGAAAAATCGCCCCTCCCCTAGAAGGAAATATTTAACATAATCGCCTCCCTCGGATAATCGCCTTCCCTCAAATCGCCCCCTTAGAAGAAAATATTCAACATAACCGCCTCCCTCGAATAATCGTCTCCCCCCTTAGAAGGAAATAATTATTTAAAATAATCGCCTCTCTCAAATAACCTCCTTCCTTCAAATAATCGCCTCCTTTTTTGCGTGAAAAAAAAAAAAAAAAAACATCGCCTTCGGCTATTATTTGAGGAAATACGGGGCGCTTTCCATTTACGAAAAAAACCCGGAAATTTCGGTGGTAGCAAAAGTGGAATTTCCGATTGGTAAAAAGTTGTTCCATTTGGTCGTAAACCCCGGTACGTGGCGCGGTGCCCGACCGCGGACCTGGAACTGGTACAAACTACGAGAAACGTAAATGGAACACATTCCGTTCAACCGGGAAAACGGGACCACCTTTTAGATTTTCCACTTTTTCTGGGAATTTTCCAGTGGGACGAACCGACAAAACGTGTTCCATTTACCGCCGAACCGGAAATTCCGGAAATTTTGACTAAATGGAAAGCGCCCACGGTAACTAACACCCCAGGTGGTTAACCCACGTCATATGTGCAATGATGGGAGGTTTTAACAGGGTCTGGCTCAACAATATTTTATGGGCTCCAAATTCAAAAAACGATAAATGTGTTTTTAAATTTGGTATTTTGCTTGGTTTATAAAGTTAGCTACCTTCGGAGCAACACAGGTCTGGGTAATAATTACGAGAGTTTTTTGCTCAGGGTAAAAGAATATTGTGGAATAATTGAGAGGGATTATTCGACATCAACCAAGCCTAAGGCACAGTAAATGAATGTAATTGTATCCTAAAAAGATACAACAACCCGACAGTTTTGAGGATTTTATTAGCCCCGAAGAGCCGCATTTCCGATATTTGCAAAAATAAATATACATACAAAATGATTTCATATTCAAATCCTCCAAAATAATAGATAACAACTGATTTGTTAGTAACTAGAACGCATTCTGAAGTTTTGGACTTCCTTTTTTAGTGAGGCCGGACTAGGAATGACACTACAGAATGCACGAAAAATATTTTATATTTTCTGAAACAGTTATAAATCCTCCACTAGGAGTTCTTCACTAGGTGCTTCCGCCAAATGTGCTGGAAACCTCGGCGAACGGCGCATGATTTTTCCACTAAGATTTAGTACCACCTGACGTGTTTTATCCAGATAAAACTTGAAATGCGCGCCCTGTCCCGCTGACCAACTCTCATCGTGCTGATATAGGGAGCAACTCGTGTCTTCTCCGGAGCCCTCCTACTTGATGTCATTTTTCGACAGTGTTGAGGCATTAATCACAACAACAGATGCGAGGTGACATTTCGCTCCTGGTTTGATTTCAGGACAGCAATTTCTTTCGTTGTTCTTGTAGTAAAAATTCCAAATGCTCTGCTCGTTTCATGGCCGCCTACGCAAAAAAGAAGAAAGTATATTTTAAGTCCGTTTCTCGCTGCTGCTTTACGCCAAGGATTTTTTTTCCCGTCACAGAAGAACCCAAAAGACCTACACTGTTTGAAACAACAAGTTTGTTTACCCATCATGCTAGGGCCTTATAAAGGCTAAGAATGGCCGCTCGGTCAGAGCCGCGCTGGACGGCCTGCAATCCATTGTCCTTAGTTGCAAGTCCCGCCCTGTCCACTAAATGGATTTTTCTCAGTAATGCCGAGTTTAACTTCTCTGCTATCCCTATAAATAGCCAACTGGTTTGCCTCTTCGTTACGTTTCAACGAATTATTCTTTCAGTCATTTTCTCGGCCCGATAATCCATCAAAAGTAAATGTAGCTCTTCAGTTTATGTTTTAACAGGATTCGTTACCTGATGCTGTTCTCGTAAGGTTTTCATTGTTTCTTCTTTCTTGGCTATGGCTTGCTTCACTCTGTTGAACAACAAATAATAGTTCACAAACCTCCACATTTTCAAATCTCCATCCAACTGATATTTTTGTGTGGTAGCCTGCATAGCTGGAGGTTTAGTTGGCAAGAGGCAACGAAGGAAACATGAGCGAGCGGCGAAGCCGAAAAACCCCAGCTACAGAAAAATCACTTAATTGTGGTTCGTTAGTTTGAACTGAAACACTCCCCGAAAGGGTTTAGAAAAATTATGCAGAGGGACGACAAAACGTAAAATTGCGTGGAAAACGAAGTACCTGGAGAAACGAGCAAGAACCAGCGAGCAAGTCAACATACACATGGCGTGGCCTCCCCCAGGAATTCGAAGCCACGCCCCGATTGGTGGCAGGTGAGTAGTCTCAGCATCAGTCTCGCCCTAAGAGCACGAAAAGGATGTCACGCCCAAGCGTTACATTCTCGCTTACATTTTGTGCGTGACATCTCTCGCCTCAGAGCTCGAACAAAGGTAATTGCAGCCTTTCTTCAGCTAGTCCTTCATTTTCTCATACGTTACCAACAAACCTCTTATGTACTTCCTCCATTTCTTGTTCCTTTTCTCGGGTTACTCGTTCTATTTCCAGTCGGTGGCGAGCTTTCATTTCACTTAATTCTGTTTTGAGTCGTTTGTTGTCTTCATCGGTTGTCACAAGCCTGATACACGAAGAAAAAAATCGTAAACTTTCGCACTCTATTCCCATTAACCGACAACTTGCCGAAACGGCCATTTCTTGACTTGGAGATACAGAGTTGGTACCAACCTGTCGGCAAATTCCTGCCGAATTATATCTGCAACTTTTCCTCTTTCTTCTTGCAGCCGTTTTGTCACTTTGTCGATGTCTTCCATTTCGCCATCTTTCTGCTTCAACAAGCTTTTTAAGCGCGCATTTTCTCCATCTACCTCGGATAAACGAGCCTGCAAAGTTCAATCCCAAAATTCATATTCTCCTTCAGTGTAGTCTGAAAGTCATCCGTCTCTTCGCCCCACCTCCCAACGGGTGGCAAGGCGAGGGAGACTGAAAAGCACACTCATGGCCGCCAATTAGATATTTATGCATAATTGCATGAATTAGTCTGTGACGTCACGGGACGGCATTATAACGCTGGGGATTTTGCCGCGCGCTGGGGAGTGGGGCGAAGAGACGTGATATTTCAGACTACCTTCTGTTCGTCAGAGCTGCTGGAACACCTCTACCGCCGTCCGCGTCTTTGTTCTGTCTAGGTCTGTCCAAGAGACCATGGCCTCTTTGTCTGTCATGTACTACCTATCTATCTGCGTGTTTCTTTCAGGGTGCCTTAATTCCATTTCCTTTTGTTAATCCCTTTTTGGTAGCGTCTGTCAGTATATAGATTTATCGGCCTCGAGGGCGTTTGTTAGCTACTAATATAAGCACTTTGCATTCACCTTCATGCTGTTGTATTTTTCCTGCATCTTTCGCTCAGATTCTTCCAGCTCCTTAAGTTCGGATTCGTACTTATCCCTCACGCGCCTGAAAAAAAATGCAAATCAAATGAGTCGATTACTCCTACTAAGATATCCAGGGGTTACAAAAAATATTACTTCCAACTTCCGTACAAAGTAGGTCATCTAGTCTCTCAGAAGTTAAAGAGAGTTAACTGTCACTAACAGGCAGAAGCAAACCGAACGGTTAACTTTTTGTTTGACGCTATTTGTATGATTAATATCTCCAATGTGACTGGTCAAGACCAAATCAATACTTCCCAAAATGTATATTTCGGTTTAAGCAGTTTGACAGTGAAGGAAAACGACACGACTTACTTGATTCTGTTCTCTGCAGCTCGTTCGCATTCCTCTCTCGCCAGCGACGTTTCTTCCTCAAGTCTCGTTATAACCATTTCAATTTCCTGCGTGAGAATCAATACTCTCCATTGTAAAATGACTTTTATATAAACCAACAACAAAGTTGGAACCGTAGCAATTTTGTACAACAGAGGCTAGCTATCTGTCTCTATGTATTCTGCCACCTTTCGCTGTATTCTCAAGGAACAGTTCTCTACAAAAAATTGACGTTGCTTGAAACCGATGAAAGTTTGCACGGTTAGTGTTTTAAGTTTAAAGAAAAACGATTCCTTAGTCGCCCAAAGCAAAAATAAGTCGCCAAGGGTCATCAAATTTTTGCAAGAGTTTTAGAGTTTCGTCCGTCTCTGCCTGATGTTTACATGTTTTAGCTCATGGGAAAAACAAAGAAAATGACAAAAAACAAAAGAAAAAAATAACTCGCAAAAAAACCCCCTGACTCACCCTATCACGACCTTCTCTCACCGCCTCTTTCAACTCACGCTCTTTAGCCATAAGTACGGCGTCCTGAAAAGATATGGAGATAATTATGGATGAAAAACTTGAAAAGAAACTGGATTGGTTACTTATGGTCAAGCTTCGCACCTGCTTTTTCATGTAGTTCTCGATCCAGCCCTGCTTTTCGATGTCCAGTCTCTCCTTCAGCTCGTTTACCTCCAACTAAAATTCAAGCAAAGCGTGCAATGTCATTAAAACTGGTGCAAATAGTTTGTTACTCGTTCACGCTAAGTAAATTGTTTGTTTTCAAGAGTGTTTTTATACTGAAAAGGAGCAAGGCGTTGATATGTTATGTGAGTTGAATATTGACTTGGGTTCCCCCCGAAGAACTAAACCTATTTGAAGTGAGTCGAAGTCATCTCAAGGCCCCTTTGCCCTTCAAATGTGAGAAGTGCAAAGCACCCTAACGAGGAGCTAAAAAATTGGTAATATATATGAATAATACATTCCGATACCTCGTGTTTTCTTTCCAGATTAGTAATTTCTCTTTGATGGTTTGTTTGCATCTCCAAAATAGACTTTTTATGAGATTCCTGCAAAGAAAAAGAGGATAAATAAGCCAAGGAAAGGATTACGACACCAAATTTCGCGAACAAATTAATAATTTCTGAGGAGAAAACAAAGAAATTCACTAGTGCGTGAAGGTAGAAGATTTAGATTACCTCTAAAGCCTCGCGCGCCTCGTCTAGTTCCTGGCGCTGTTTGTGAGCCTGCAAAGCTACTCTTTCCTTCTCCTCCTGTACTTCTGCGTACAGACGCCGCCGCTGTTGTTGGTATGCCTGTTCCTCTTGCTCCAGCTGCTTTTCATATCTATACAAACGAGTGACGTGGAAGCAACATAAACACGATCTTTAAGAGCTGGCCTGGGATAAAATCGATCAAGATTTTGAATATGATGATAAAATTCTATAAGGTGATCGTTCGAATAAAATAACAGGTTATAGTTTTATTCACCGACACATTTAAAACCCTTAAAAGTTCAACCCCCTCTCTCTGATAGTCCGGATAAATAAAAATTTATCTTTTCAAAAGGAAAATCAAGACTAAATAAAAGCTATCAAGATATTATTGCTATTGCTAGAGTTTCTCATAACTATATCCGGCACCAACGTCGTCATATATAGGCTCTACGTTTGGGGAAAGGGGGCTAAATATCGGAGGTGATGGGAAGAGGAAAAGTCCCCCCCTCCTCCCCTTGTACCTGGTGAGCTTTTTCCCCTTTCTCCCCCACCAAGGAGCCTGGTCCCAGGCTGTAAGAGGGAGTATGAGGAGCAAGGATTAACTTAGCCGGTTAGTGCGCGGCTTTTTGTGCGGGAGGTTCGAAGTCGATTCCCAGGTGTGACCTCAAATCCTTGTTTCGCTTGCTTCTTTCCTTTACGGTAGCTTTAAGTAGCTTTAAATACTAGTAACACAGAGCACCAATGGTGTGAGAAAGGGGGGAGTGGAAGGAATAAAAAGAAGCACACCGTGGGCTGCTGGTTTATCCGGCAGTCAAATGATGACTGTTACCATTTACCGACGCTAAATAAGGAGCTTTACCTTCTACCTTATAGTATAGCCTATAGACGGAGTACGGATTAGGAAACATTTACCTTTGTTGGGAGAGTTCCCTCTCCCGGGAACAAGCAGACTCCTTTTCTCTTTCCAACTGATCTCTAAGTTCCTCTATCTGTTGGATGTACCTTCTGCCTGCACGCTCATCTGCTTCAAGTAACTCCCCCTGTAAACCAATCACACTCACTCAACTATCATTTCGGAATAAGCCAATCACAGTTCACCTCAACAAATTGAATGCAATAAAAGGAACACAAAGAAAAGGAAACGAGCAATAATGACAAGCGCGGGTACATCTGCAACCAATCAAAGCGACAGAAAATATGTTACCGTTGCAAAGCAATGATTGCTGTACAAACGACAACACTGAGACGCGAAAAACCACGCAACTTATGTCAGTTAGATGAGGAATTATATGTATAGCCCTAAAATAAAACATGCGATCGATTTTTGGTAAATACACAGTACGTTTGCTCTATCTAACTGGCAAAACAGCAAGCGTTTGATAACGCGCAGGGTTCAACAGTATGTAGTCGACCCAACACATGTCACGTGGTAATGACACATGCACTGATCACGTGGTGACGTTACCTGATGGGTGGATTTGAGCTTTTTTACTTCCGCTTTATGCTTTGCAATGAGCTTCTGGATATCTGGTTCCAGTCCTTTCACAGTAACCTCCTGTTGATTTACGAGAAAAAAGGGTTTGCATTATTTTGGTATTAAGGTCGGAGGTGTGAGCCCTTGGGTGCTTCCAGTAAGCAAAAATTGCGTAAATTAAATGAAACAAGTCAGTTTAGGCAGCGCTCAGTCTCCAGATGAGGAAGCAAACAACTTCGGTGAGAAAGATTGGGACGACACGCGAAAGTGGTACTCTTCTCCTTGTCGTCTCGTTCTAATTTCTTGTCGTAAATACCACCAATTTTTCACAACGTTCTCGTGGGGACTAGTCAGGGAAGAATCTTCAGAGAAAAGAAGGAACAGAAAGGATGGAAGCAGTTACATAAACAACTGTAGGCGATTATGAAAAGTATCTTGCATGGTATTAACAAGTGTCAGTCTCTTTGCCTTACGCGTTACGCATTTTTTTTGAAAAGTTCGCAAAGCCTACATACTTGACCATGAACGTAGTCCAAAGAGTTCTGACTCCGGGAAGGGCATTTGTTACCTTAATTTGCTGAGTCTTTTCGTTAATCCATTTGTCACGCCTTAGTTTTTCAGCTGCCAAAATAACTTCTTTTTGCTTCTTGATTTCAACTTGGTGACTACAAAAAAAATTCCAGCAAATCTCGCGACAAACATCAACGCGTTTTTTACACAAGCTATCAAACTCTAGCAATAATATATTGTAGTTCAATAAATGTTCCAGTAACAGCAGATAATACCAAAGAGGAAACCTAACAACAGCTACAAATAAAACTGCGTCTTTTCAAGATCAGGGTATCACAATTTTACTCAATCTCAAGAACAATGCTATTTCACTTCCGCTTTATGCTTTGCAATGAGCTTATGGATATCTGGTTTGGGGCAGCATGGCCGTGTAATTAGGGCGCTGTCCTGACGACCGGGAGGTCCCGAGTTCGAGTCCTAAGCTGAGCTGGAACATTTGAATTCAATTCAGTTTTATTCCCACTTTTGTAAAATATTTTCATTATATATAGTTAGGTAGGAATACGTTAGTAAAGAAGAAGAAAAAGGAAGAAAGAAAATTAATGGCTTGGAAAGATTTGTTTGGTTTATTTGCTCGAGCCCCACCACCGCCGCCGCTGTCCTTTATTTATACACACAAGTGTAAACGAGCTTATTTATTCATTTGCTTAACTGATTTTGTCTTCCATTTGCTTGATTTTGTCTCCGTACTTTTTGTCGGTACTTTTGAGTTTATTCACCACTTCTTCGCACCGTTGCGAAAGAACTTTTTTGTCATCTATAAGCTGATCAATGAACGACAAGTGCCTCTGAATTGCAGCTTCGTATTCTTGTCGTTGAATAGCAAGTCTCTGTTTCGCATCTTTCTCCATCTCCTTTGCCTGCCGAAGCGTGAATTCCCGCTGCTGGTTCTGTACAAGAGAAACAACAGAATATGGTGAGAAAGATGTTTTTTTCAGTTGGAAGAAAAGATCCGAGTTATTCCAACAGGAGTCGAACCTTTGACTTTCTGGTGGAACCTCGATATAACGAAGTGCCAAAAGACTAAAAAAATGTCTTCGCTGTAACGAGGTTTCGTTATATCGAGGTACTTTTCCATACAGTTTACTATCACTTGGATAAAGAAAATCATTCGTTATACCGAGGACTTTGTTATATCGAGGTTCCACAGTAGTCCACATGCTCTACCACTAAGCTACAGGAGACTCGTAGGAACCAAGGCAACTAAACTAGGTTCACGTGACAGACATCCTGCAGACTGCTAGGACTGGAATGTTGATATGCGCTTATGCGCAATGATAGAAAAGTGATGGTGAATTTTAAGCCTGGCCCAGGTTGTTCAAAAGATGGATAGCGCTATCCACTGGATAAATAACTATCCAGCGAATAAGTATTAGGGAAACCAATTGTGAATGGATAGAGATGATCCGATGGATTAACAACTGGTTCGACATTTCAGCCTGGGTTGCAGACGGCCAACGCGTCATCTAGACTTTTGGTATAGTTTGCCACGCAGGCTAGTTTCAGTGTGAACCTTAGCTACTTCCCTGAGTCAAAAAATCGACCCAAAAATGTGGCCTATTTCAGTAAAGGATAAACTGCGAGTAGATCCTAATTTATCTACACATTGCGAACCAAGCGAACACACAGGCAAGCACGAAAAAGCAAACGCGACGTGAGTAAAGTCCCCGCGACCGGTATCTCGTTTTGAGAGACAGATTTTGCAGACCCAAAGCACTCCTTGACATTCATCTTTCTTTAATCTTTAATCATTCAATCATTATTTATACACGGTAAAAAAATTCATCAGGTACAATAAATTCCAATACAATGACTAAAATCCTAAAAATCCTGATCGTAATATTATAATAACTTATAACAATATGCCACTAAAAACCTGATTTCCATGAATGCTGGGTTTTAAAAAAGACAAAAGGATTCAGAGAACTGATGTTATAGTAAAGGTTTCGAAAGGTAGTTGATAATTTGATTGCGGTGTGACTTAAGGCTGACGTTCACTAACCAGAGCCCTTTGAAGCAAGTCATTGGTTCGTTTCTTTTCTTCTAACTCTATCTTTACTGCAAGCATGGCTGTTGTGACGTCAGTAGCCGCTGCAGCAGCAGATTCAAGGGCGGCCTCTTCCTTTCTGTAGCGAAGAAAAGAATTACTCAATGAAAAAGTGGGGTATTGAACCGAGGTAATAACTCTGGCCGATCAGAACACGAGTAGAAGATTTAACAAACCAATCAGATCTTGAAGTAGTCTTACCCGGTGCAAAGCGCGGGAAAATGCGTACAAGCATGTTACAGCTGTAGGATTAGTTTTACTCCTAACTGGCCTAGAAAAACGCGCGTGATTTATAAGCCAATCACAGAGAACAGTACTAGCTAGCATTGCCAGACCAAAGAAATCCCATAATTACTTCAGAAACTAACTTAAGGTCATGTTACAACGAAACGATTCGCAACGACGATTTTTAGACACAACGTGGCAACGCAGGAACAATGTGGCAACCATTCGAAACAATGCTGCAACAACGTTGTAATGCTGTGTTGCGCAAAAAACGTCTCTGCTAATTGTCCCGTCTCACATCTCCATTAAAAGCTACTCTAAAAGAAAAACATAAATACGATAAACAAGGAAATCATAAACATTATCTCACAACGTAGCGCAACCAAAAGCCGGGTCAGAAACAATAGAGAAAGCAGCGCAGCGCAGCCCAGCTGTCCTCTTTCACAAATTAATCAATTAAGAAGATAAACAAAATTTGCGTTCTTGGTTTCCACATTTTCGCTTCACGAGAGATTGGAATTAAGGCTTTTATTCCGACTGAAATAAAATAACGCCAGTAACTTTAAACTGACAACTTGACCATGAATATGTAATGTTTGGTGAACCGACAATGAACTCGTTCGGAATAAGGGGGCACTTTCCGTGACTCGTTCAAACGACCGCTGAATACACGCAGGACTATAAATTAGTTTCTCGATACTTACTCTCTATCTACTGCCACAGAAGCTGAAGTGCTTGATGATGGTAATCCGCGAGAAATTGCACCATCTCGAGCCTAAATAATCAACGCAATAACACTGTTAACTTAAAACGATTAAGATAACTCCACGCACTCACCGAGATTTTACCGAACAAATCCAAGAAGCAACTTATGAGCTGCCTTAATATTTTTTGACCTCAAAATGCCAAAGTGAAAATTTATGAAAACCCATTTTGTAAAATGCTTAAAGAAAAACTAGAACCACGCAAAAAAAACTGCTCATGAGGTTTCATTTCAGTGGAAATATTTCAACACCCTCATCAACCAAGCTAAATAATGGCACAAACCTGAGTGATGTCGCTGACAGCATCATCCTCAGCTTTTTCTACTTCATCCAAGAACGTCAAGATACTCCTGGGAAAAAAAAAAAAAAGTTACCCACCACTCCTAATGATTACTGGACAGATATACTGTCTACTCTCTCAAAACAGATACTGTTAGGACGGTAACAACCGATTTCGCTACTTGCTGAATTCGTTACCCCCTTCGCTGAGTTTGGCAAGTAGCGAAACCAGTGTAAAGTGTTAGGACCGGCACTGAGAGTCCATTTTAGAGAGACAGTCGGTTTATAGAGGGACAAATAAATGACTGCAGAATGGAAAGGACCAACTCTAGTTGTCGTTTGGGGGAGGGTTGGGGGGGGGAAGTACCCATTTCTCGGAGGCGTTCATTCATGAAAAAGTTTCTTCTTCACAGTACGATGAGTTAACGCAACAGGACGGCAAATCCCATGCGCGTGACCAACGGGACAAGGCTATTACGTGCGTGTTCTGTCGTGATCTTCACTAACATCAATGTTTCATGGTCTTTTACAAAAAGATCTGTTTAAAGGAAAGTCAACTTATTGTCACGCTTGTCACACAAGGTTTGCCGTTTTCTTTCCTCTTCTGTAATGCTACGTAAGTTCACTAAAGACAGTACACGGACTTCCGACTATCATACCGGCGGGGTACCTTAGTTTTTCAGCAGACAATGCAGCACCTGATTGGCCTTGGCTAAAGTAAGAAAAAAAAACAAACAAACAAAATAACAAATAAAAAAATAGTCCAGCGTTAAATAAAGAGATCGTTTTCTCAAAAGAAGTCATTTCAGTCCCATGCAAATAACTACCTAAAAATGATACAAAGAGATACTTGTTTGGACTACTAATCGTCATTAACCAAAAGACTTCTCCAGTCCAGTTTGCACTAGATACTTAGTTTAGTTGAGTAACAGCACGTAAGAGTTGTTAATATATTAACTGAATTCATCATGGACCCCACCCCTCTGATTAATACAGTAAGTGCTGATGTTATGGGGAGATGGTTGGCTGTTGGAAGGTTGTGGGGAGAGGTGGCCTAAAATATGGGCTGACTTTGAACAAAAAGTAAATCAGCAAACTGCATATTTGCATAGCAACCACTTATCCAAGAAACTATAACCAAGAAAATAACTTACCTTTCCAATTTGGCTTTGTTTAACTGATCCAAAGAAGCATAAGAGAGATAAGGCTATAAAAAAAAACATCATTACTGGAATACACAGTGTAGTACTATATTGATCTTCTCTTGACATTGGGACTGAAAAAGTACAGGTAGATGTACTTAGCTAACTTACTGCTACATTATTTTCAGAGGGATATAATCTGTAGAAAACCAGCACTTGCCAGAACACTACTGTGACAGATGGACAGACATACAGACAGACAGATTTTTGGTACATAACTAAACATCAGACACACATTATATTGCAGATGAGCTCACAAGAGCTATTGTGCTGATCAAAGATGTTAATCTGCCCAGTCTTCCTGAGCCTTCAACCTCCATGCAGGAATAAGTATTTGCTTACTCTAAAACTGTATGCAATGCAGGCTACAGGCGTTTGGGTAGTCTCCCAAGCAGCCATTTTTGAAGCTTTGCACAATACTCCTCCCCAAAGTGTTGCATAATGAGACAAAAATGGATGCATGTGTGTGTTTGAGTGGGTAGACATATTAAAGAACTTAGTGTGAGACAATTTTTTAGTAGAAATTTGCTAATTTACCACATCTCTTCAACTCCTGGTTGCTTACCCACAAATAGCACTACAAATAACACATGCTTGTTACATCCATAGGGACTAGCAGGGATTGGTTAATTTGTACTTGTATGGCATACGCACACAGTAAACTTAATGTAAAGTGTTTTTAGGTTTAATGCTCTATCAATGTTGTACTCTAAACAGAGGTCCACAAACGGACTGTACTTTAGCTAGTAGAGAGCAATGAAAATAGACTAACCTGGTCACTGTTTTCATAGTCTTGCTCTGCAATAATAAATATTGCATTGAATTGATATGGTAACCATCAACAAAAATATTATTGGAAATTGGAAATTCAGAGGGGTGGGTGACAAGGGTCTCTTAAAGGCAAATATTTTTCAAGAAAAGTGTGACCCTAAAAGGGAATTCAAGACAGTCGGGGGTGGGGTAAACAAAATGAGCTCTTAATGCAGGATTACGGATATTTCTCGAGCAACAGATTACATAACCACAATAAATTACATAACCACAATAAAATGCTGGGAAGGGAAATAATCTTATCTCACTTAATCAAGCAAAATTAATATTAAGACAGACAAAAACTTTCAAGACATCGTTCAGGGGTACCCAATGACTTTTTTCGGTAAAATAACTATTCAAAGGAGGAAACATTACCTAGACATTTTGAAAGTTCAAGAAAGGCAAAAAATTTCTGGATAACTGTTCCATCGGTGTACAATTTTCAGAGGTTGTGCTTTTCACATTAATTTTCATTACCAAGATACTGTGATTAATATTAAAAAAGGTTTCCTCAAAACTTCCCCTAGAATCATCCAATGAAAGTACAGCTACTCCATGTCCCCGAACTTTTGGACAGGACCAATCAGAGTAGCTAACAGTTTTGGATGATACAAAACAGCTACCTAAAACTTTCAAGATGAACAAAGTTCCCCTAAGACATCCAAACAGATACATGTAAATAGTTTGGCTGCTCCAGATTAACCAAAGAGGCTTCTAAAGCATAGAGAAAACCATTAATTTTTAAGGCACGCCTGATGTATCTGGAAACATTCGCTCATTGGGTGCCCCCGATCATAAAGTTGTAACGCAGGCACTTACTCCATCCACCAAACTTATGCTCAGTGCTTTCCTCAACAGGGATTAAACCTACTGGTTCCTCCTCCAACTGCTTTAGTGACTCAAGAAGATCATCAAAGGTTGTCTTACTCTCAACACCTGCCTGTGAGCTGAACAAAACCATTATACAATGATCATTGCTCCAATCAAGACACAATTTTTTTTCAATGAAAATTGATCTAATTACCAGTGTTCATGAAATCTCAATGTAAATCTGAAATAAAATAGCTTTGTGGAAAAGGGACAAAGAAAAAATCTGAAATAAATCATTTTGTATGAGGCGCATTTTGTTTGAAACAAAATTAAATTAAATTATTTTTGCTAGGTGAAAATCACAAAAGTGCAATCTCCTCCTGTTGACTGAATCTTAGTTGTACTGAAATACCCTGCCAAATCTTTTCAAGAAAAGAAAAAAAGAAACACATATTTTTATAAAAAATATTTATTTAATTATTATTTTTAAACTTAGTTTTATTACACAATCATTTCCTATGTTAAAAGAAAGCATATCTGGATATCTATTAGCAAAAATATCCCTGACACTCTCCTTTTACAAAGGTATTTGAGGTATAAGCAAAAACATATGCTTTTGTTAATTTTATGACATTTTGATACCTTGTTATTGTTTTATCTGTTTCATCTGTACGATCAGAGAACAGAGGTGCTTGGTTATCAGAAGCAGCTGCACTACTGACTTGTGATTCTCTAGATTCCTGGAATGAAATCGAAAATACTTTTTTCAATGTTTTGGTGCTAAGGGAGCCCCAAATATAACACAGAAACCAGCTCATAATAGCTTTCAGTTCAACAGCCTTGGTTAAGCAAGGCTGTGCTCTAAGAAAAAAGAACTTAAAAGCTCTGAAACAGTCAAGACCGTAGTACCTTATTATATCAAAGTTTGGCCATGTAAAAAGCATGACCATCTGGTTGTTTAAAGGCAAGGGTCACTGGGCTTTGCTAGATTAAACCCCTATTAAGTTAATACACTTTATTCCAAAGTGGAGACAACACTACTCTTCTTTTACGTGTTACGTTTAGCAGTTAATTAGCCCTCACACTTCGATTGCACCTGCAGAATTCGAAAGAAGTGTTACCTTGAAGCAAGGCAACAGGGGAAAAGACAAAAAACAACAAATTTTGATCCCATTTTGGAATAAGGTCTAACAGACGATAATGTATACCCGGCAGTACTGTTTTTGGAGTTGTTAATTACGGGTAATTAAGCTTATTTTTTAAAAAATGGAGGCATATATGACATATAGCCCCACCCCAACCCACATGCTTGGTAACTGGCCATTGGTAACAGGATGACAGTTAAAAGATCAGTGCAGAATAAATAGCCATTAGCAACTAATATGTTTTACTGACCTGGAATAGTTCTTCAACTTTCCTTCCAACACTACTTGCAGTGCCAGGCCTGGATGCTGTTTCATTTAAATTAACTGGTTCATTGTTTTTTATGGTACTGCTAGTGGCGCCAGCATCACTAGTTTTCTTTACTTTAGATCTTGGCTTGTTCATGGATTTCTTTTTGCTTACTTTTCCACTGGCTTGGAGGAAAGTCTGAAAAAAAAATGTATAATTAAGGTGACCATATCACAGTTTCACTGAAAAGAGAAAATATAAAGTTTATTAATTTCCTCATTAACAAAATGTAGCTGCTAAACTGTAGTTTTTTCTTGTAATTTGTACCTGGGGAAAAACCTCTTAGAGCAAGAGAGAGAACCAACAACAAACTCAACCTACATATTGCATCTACACCAGTACTCAAACCAAGGCCACATTGGTGGGAAGCGGGATCTATCAAGGTTTCTAGGTGAGTGACCACCTACCCCTCCCCTAAGTCACAATTTTGCCCTAAGTGAGAAGTGTGCGTTAATGTTGACTTAGGGGAGGGGTAGGTGGTGGGTTACCTAGAAACCTCAACTGATCCAGGAAGTGAGTGCTCTCACCACTGCACCACCCTTGCTTCCCAAGGTGAAAGAGAGTAGTACTAACCAGTTCTTCCTCAGCTTTTCTCTGATTCTCCTGCCTTTTTTCATCTCTCTTTTTCTGAAGCTCTTCTATTGCTGCCTGTCTTGCCAACCTTGCTTTCTCTTCTCTCCTTTTTCTCTTTTCTTCTTCTTTTTGCTCTCTGTGTTCTTCCTAAAAGTACAATGTTGTAGAAAAAGTGGTTTGAGTTTTACTGTTGCACTAATAAGCCAGTAGATGAGTGCTGGTGTATTGTTACCAAATCTTGTTAAGTCCCAAATCAAAATATTTACCTGTCAAATTAAAAAAATTCTTTACTAAACAAACTTTTGACACCTTTCTTAGTATTTTTCTCAAGTGAAATATTTTCCTTGTAAAATACGATTGGTTTGTACGAACATTGTAGAGTTATTATTATTAATTTTAATGTCCTAGTAGGTAGCCAACAGTCCAAAACCAACCTTGTCCAGACTGAGGAAAGGGAAATGGCATCAGATTTCTGTGGTCTGTTTTACCCTTCTACTTTAAAGGGATACAGTCAACTGATGCACATGCACATTAGATACCATATTTTCTCAGCTGATTTGCATATCATAAGAAACACACATGAAACAGAAAGTGAGAAGTGCATCTGGAATATCTAAACAAACCCTGTGGAATTGAACTAATGGCAAACAAAACTGTGATTATAGACCCTAAGTCATATGAGAGCACTCATTTGACGCATATCATTTGCTTTCGGGTTGAGGTAAACACTTTTCATACTGGCAAAACTAGTGTGCAGGTCAGTGCAGTATCATAGCTGACTGTGTCCCTTTTAAGTGTTGATCTTGGTGCTCAGTGTCAATGAAACTAACAAAGGCATCAAGAAGTTGTTGAACGATGACTTAGCAAAGATACCGATAGTTTTGATTCCGAAAAGCAACTTTCGTCACACTAGATGAGTGTTCGCAAAAAATAAGGACAGAAAAACTGGACAAGGTAAGAAACTAATCAAAACAACAAAATCAATTAATTACAACTTGTTCAGGACCTCAGTCTTTGCACTGAAGAGCTGGGTCTCCTTTTCTGATTTCTTCTGACTCAACAGCTGTTTGATGGCATTCTGTCCATTAAGTTCTTTCCTCGTTTTCCATCCACGATACCACCTCTGAATGTTCACAGCCGCCTTTCTTCTCTTGCTCTCACTCTCATCCTCAATGAGTTCATCAAGAAACAATTTAGGAATATCGTCCCTTTTTGATATTGATCTGTTGGGCTTGATTCGAGAGTTCCCTTCAACCATGTCAAAATCAGTAATATTGTGGTCTAGATTATTAGTGACAGTCCGTAAGTTCTCAACATCATCTTGCGTAAAGTTTTTATCAGCTTGGTTGCTAGTATTGTGTGCACCAGTCCACCAGTTATGCTCCCGGCTTGATTCAGTAGGGGACTGTAAAAACAAAGGAGGGACTGGAGCAGGATCACTAAGAGCCTGCCACCATTCTTCTACCTCATCTGGTTCTAACGTGTTCTGTGATGTTGCTGATGGCCTGTCTGGCAAGGCAACCTGATTGGCATTAGCAGCATTATTATGGCGCTGCGGGAATTTAATAAAATAATAATAATGATGATGATGCTGATCATAATAATGATAGTGAAAGGAAGAGAACACTACAGTCTGCAAGTTTCAAACACATTTTTAAAGATAACAACCCCAAATCAAAACCAGGGCCCAAAAAAAGTGTTATCTGGTCAACCACACAAGTGGAATCTCCTGCTGGGCAAGAAACTTTTCATTCTCATTTGCCTGAAGGTCAAGGGCCCCAGGCAAGTTGTATACCAACTAAATTGTTAAAAAAGGAAAATTACATGTAAGACTTGCCAGGTGCAAGGAAAATTCGAGAGCTGCAAAATCACCTACAGTACTAACACGAATGAGGAATATGACAGAGTTTTGGCCAGTTAACATTTTAGGAGAGGATTTCTTTAGTGATAAAAGGGCCAATACTTGCCTGAAAAGTAGTGGCCAGTTTAGGTTTAGCACGAGCTTTAGCTTGGGACATAATGAGAGGAATATGATCCTCAGACAACCTAAGAATAACAGAAAATAATGAGTTTTTAACAAAGAAAAGAAATACTTAGACAGGTTAAATTTACAAAGTTGAGGTTGGGTCACTACTTCACACATTCCAATTCACTGACACTCTGTATTTAAAAATAAATATGCAATAAGCATCTTCATCATGTCTTGCATCTGTAAACAACATCCAACATAGATCTGTACATAGATCTGTACCTTGTTGCTTTTGGTTTTTTTGGAGCTTTTCTCCTGGCTCCTGAGCTACCACTTGTCCGTGCACTGTCACTGTCGCTAGCAGATACATAAACTTCATTGACCTGTGACCTAACAAAGCCTGCGCTTCCACCTTGAAAGGACAATTAAGAAAGGTGTGAAACTCAGAGGAGGGTATGGAAGTTTATACAATTACACTTGTAATAACTTAAGGTTAGGGTTAGGGTGTCTGGGTTAGGGTTATAGTTTGATTTGTAACCTGACGCCACTGTAATGGAAGAAATGTGCCTACATGCAGCCGCTATTCTGTGACAATCTGTTCTGCAAATTTATGTGAAAAGAAATGTTAAGACTGTTAGTTACACAGCCAACTTTGTAACAACTACGAAATAGAAATATGTGTGTTGAACGCCACATTGGAAAAAGGCAAGTTTGCATGCAAATTCAACTCGGGTTCAATGGCCTATACAGTAAACATATCGCGTGACTTTTCTCATCTGCAAATTACGAAGTATTAAGGTACTCGTCCAGATTGAAAGTATTGAATATTTGTCTAGAAAAATTGATCATTATTTTCTGCTTTCAAACTTAAGTTGAACGGTTTGGAAAGTGCCAAGCACTAACATCTAAAATTCAGAGTAATCATTCAAACACAGATGTCGCGATTCATTTAACGGATGTTTTCAGTTTAGGAATGGATAAAGTAACATATCTGAGGAAAAATATTATTCCGAGCTTTGTTTTGGTGGTGATTTGATTAAGCTGGTGATTTATTTGCACATATTGGATACAATCACAGAGGGAGCATTTTGTCACAAGCCCAAATATATCCCTTACTTTATTCATAAGTTAAAAACAGATATGTTTCCCTGGATATCTAACCTTTTCCTTTCTAATTAAATTTGTTTTGCGAGAGGACCCTTACTTCTTTTATGCTGTCCAGATGTTTTAGGAATTTTGCCTTTCCCTGTCACTGACAAAAAGTCACTTGCTTCCGACTCCTGTCAAAAATAATTTAAAAACACAGCAGAGAGTAATATTATTTTTCACGAAAAAACACTAGATCATTCCAACTACCTGATAAAGTAAAACACTTAAAATCTTAAGTTTGTACTGCAAAAAGTCTCTGCCTTTAAACCATTCCCCCCAAACATACCAGATTATTTTTTTTTCAAGTTTATCCTCATCATCATCAGCTGTATTTATTTCCTAAAGGCACAGTTCAGTCATCTCCTCTCCAAAAAAATAATCTTACCTCTATCTTGTGACCCCAACACCCCCCCTCGGCCCCCGAAAAATAAATAAATAAATAAATACCACCTTTAGAACTACATCTTTTAGTCAAGCACTTCTTTGGACACCCATGTCTGTGTTTTCAGACAGGGTGGCCCTGATAGTTTGAGGGTTGATATCTCCTTTAGTCTGAAGGTAAAATGTTGCAATAAAACAGGGAATGGGGAACAGATCATGAGCACAGGGAATGGAAAAATGAAAAAATGGGAACAAAACAGACAAAATAATGGGTAGCGAAGTCGCTGATGGAGCTGTGGTTTACATTCATAGGTTTTGTCTTCATTTTTCATAGTTTATTCCATTCCCCGTGCTGGTAACCTGGGCCTGGTTGTTCAAAGCTGGGTTAAGATAACCCAGGGTTAGTGCAAAATTTGAATTCAGATATGAACGCTTAAGATGCAAATTCAGTTTAATTCTTTTTGTCTACAGTTTTGATGACTGGATGCACTAAAAAAAATACACAAAATTATCCGAGAAAATGCTTTTGAACAAAAGAAAAAGAAATCCGGATTAAACTTTAACCCCGGGTTAGCACTGATCGGCCTTCGAACAACTGGGCCCTGCTCTCCTTTCCTCGTTTTGGTTTACAACACCTCTAAAGCTACCAGCTACTTTTCAATATACTAAATCACCTGCACAAATGGTACGTAAAAACATCGCATACATGCATCAATGTACACGGACAGAGGGAAAAAAATTCATTACGTCAAATTTTGTATTGTAATCTAAATTTAGAGTACAATCTCTTTAATGTACTACACAAAATTTTGACATGAGATTCAATCTGAGTTCATGACATGAAGTGTGTGTGCAAGGACTAAGGAACATAAAACTTACCAAACTTGCATTTGATCTCGCTGAATATTTGGTGAAGTCTGCAGAGCTCGGTCGGCTGGCCTTTGAAGAGTTCAGTTTCTTTGATGTGAGATTCTCAGTGGAGCTAGAACTGAGCGCCCCTCGTTCACGTTCAAATTTCTTATTTCTTGCAGACATAACTTGTTTTTCGCTGCTTAAATAAAACGATCTTGGAATCCACCTGCTCTGAATAACATTTTTTAAACATCAAAGAGTAGTTTTTTTACCACGCTGAAGTCAAACTGCATAATTTTACAGTGCTTGATGAAATAACACAACCATATTTTCTTGTTTTGACAACAAAATTGGCGCTCTGCCGCGACGCCATTTTTAATACGGTTAAATATTGCACGGCTGCTAAGCTTTTCCAGCTCGCAAAGCCTCATTGGAAATTCAATAAGGTGACGTCATTAGTGGCACCAGTTTTATTTTGGGCCAAAGAAACACGACAAAAAGAACCACAGCTACAACAATAAAAACACTACAAGAACATTGTCTAACCGTGATGGGAGAAAGGCTGGCTCTGACATCAGGCCTTGCCTGGCTTGTGTCAACAAAAAAAATGGTTGAAAAAAAATTGAACTAAAATGAAATTTTAGCCCACCGCCGATCCAGCATTGTGGGGCAAAAGTAAATGAGTACAGAACCAAATATTTATACCAAGAAAGAAACCAAACTAACCGGATGCAATGACAGTTGGCTATTCAGTTCACAAAAGGAATGATAACATACGATCAGGCGATTCTCCGTTCACCGTTTCTTGGGCTCCTCCAACTCAGATCGAACGCGCTGACAACGTAACTCCAGCCGGTCATTTCGCCGTTTAGCCTGAATTTCATCCGATTGCTTCGAGTCGTTTTCTCCTCTCAGCAACGACGTTACTGAGGGAGTAATAACGACCCGAAGTAATCTGATGAAATTCAGGCTATTGGCCGTTGAAATTCAGCTTCTTTATTAATACTAGAAATACGTGTATCCCAGAAACTCGCGAAGCTCGTGGGGGAGGTCCATAAAATGTCAGGGATCAAGGGGGTGAGAGAATTGGAGTAAATTGTGTAGCTTGGGAGGGCGGGTTTCAACACTGGCTCTATTATTGGAATGTGAGATGTGCTTAATCTCCTTTTGGTTGAAGTAAATTTGAAGGGGCTATGTCACAAGGATATTGCTGTTTTAGGTCAATTCTGTGCTGAAGTCGTTACCTAGTGCCTTAACCCATACACAAAATTCTCCATTAGCCGTGAAGAAAATATCAAGCCAATTTCATCAGGGAGCACTAGCCATGCGCAGGATCCCGTGGGCTCCTGTCATAATATATATATTTTTATTTTTGTAGTAACAGTATTAAAACTTGAAAAAGTTGGCCAGCTTTTTCAAGTTTAAATCCATGTCTGTCCTTGCACTTTGCTGAAACAGACGACGGGAAACAGTTTCAATGCCTAACTATATAGTCTTAAGTAACAAAACTGGACCAAAAACTGAACTGGGATTCAACTGAAGCGAAAAAACTATAAGCTTTTTTTAAAAATCTATAAAGTTGGCAAATATCGTGACATAGCCCCTTTAAACAGTAGTCCACAATAAAATTGATACTTTTCAGTTCTATGCACGTCCGTTATAACTGAGACAGGATTTAGGAAAGAATGACTTTATTAAGAGATCCTCCGTAAGATGCAATGTGACATTAGCACACAAGCAATTTTTAATTCTAGGTCAATTTTATCTTTGTGTTGCTTTTACATTCATATGTATCTTCAGGACTTGAAATTCAAATAAGCCAGCGTAACATCTTCTGAAAAGGAATGACGTAAAAAAGGCTTATAATCCATACACTGAAAATCCCTACAGGAAGCTGAACAGGTAAAATATCATGTGAAATATTCATGAGGCTACCTACGCAGCTTACGCAGTCAATACCACTTCCTATATTGGAAAAGAAAACTGAGATTTACAAAAGTATTTGCTGGTTGCTTACATGATGTTCTAAAGTACTCGACGTTTTTCTCGATATGAAATGATATGAAGGATTTTATAGAGGATCATATTGAAAGCTTTTAAATCTTGCTTTCACAATTAATGATATCACAATCCTAGATCTGAAAGCTAATAGTAAGGTGTTCGACAAATCTTCCACCCAAAAGGAAACAGGGAAGGGCAAACTTTTTAACAATGTAAATAACATGATATCTATGGATACTGGGATGAAAGTGTTAGACCTCTTAAACTACTGTCTGCAACAGTGTCTGATATTAAACTGAAATCTGGCGTGAGCCTAATTAACCGATTGGATAAACAATTTTCAGTTTAAGGTGGCCCTGTCATTATTACAGGCCCAATGAACCATGCCAAACTTTTTGTCATAACTCAGGTTTCGGTCGTAATGCGATGGCTGCGAGACTTGATGATGGGAAATCCGATTTTACTGGTGGTGAACATGTTTTGCGAAACTATTGCTTAAGTGGACACCACTTTTCAAAGGAAATCACGTCAAGCAAAAAGTTTTGCTAACACTTTTTGACTGAAATTTCTGGTGCGCTTTTATTGACATACTATCAGTACTGCCAGAGAAATTTCAAAGATCGAATCCCTGAGATCGTTGGAGCAGAATTCCGTAACTAGCATGTCCTTTAGCATTCAGTTATCAAATTGTTTCGGGATTTCGACAACGAATTGCTCTGAGGTAGAACTAACCTAGCCACCACTTTGAACTTGCGTGACCAAGGGGCAAGTCGCTGCGGTTGCGTAAATTGTATTTTGCTAACGGGTACAACGGTTTACTACTACTACTACTACTACTACTACTACTACTACTACTACTACTACTACTACTACTACTACTACTACTACTACTACTACTACTACTACTTTATATAATAATAATAATATAAATAATAATAATAATAATTATAATGATAATGATAATGGTAGTGATAATGATAGTGATGATGATAATAATAATATCTATAAATATAATAATAATAATAATAATAATAATAAAAAGCAAGAAAAACTTACGTCTACTCACTGAAGACTATAGTTTCCCTTTTGCCTCTACGTTTGATACGTAATGGTACTTTTTGTGGGAAAAAGGATTTTGCTGTATTACTGTTTTTCCAAATCAGCTGTGTTTAGCTTGTTTTAGGATTTCAGGCTGCTTCTATTTTAAAGAATATTAGCAAATTAATTAAACAGCATTCCAACACACTCTCGGGATTTTTGCTCACAGGAGATATTGTTTAATTGTCTGAGCACGTGGGCGAAATCCCATGATGGCCTGATAACTGAAATGGCCTCTTTATCAAACAGTGATCATAGTTTTCCACGGAAAATTTTCATGTTTCAGGAATTTCGTCGTTTGATCTCAGCTGATGTTTCAGTGAAATAAAAGGTTCGATCAGTGAGTGCGTACAGATGAGAGCTCCGGCGGACTGATGATGAATGCATTCGCGTGACCGGAAATGTATCACCTGATTATAACGGATTATAATTTATGTGTGGATACTTTGTAAAAAAATAATTCTTTGTATAACCAAAACAATATCAGGTATCTAACACCATCATTGTATCGAACAGGTTAGTTTAGGGTCACATCTAGAAATAGCATATTGGTAAGTGATTTGAAATTTGGTGCCGTAAAGCTGGGAAAGAAAAGTAATTGTGTCAAATAATAAACGTAACTGTGGCACCGACTCCGGTGTCATATTGGCATACCCATGTAATGCGCTTTTTTTATAGGTCCAATAAAGAATAACAATCTCTCTTGGTTTATAAGCTGATCGTGCATGTGCTAATCAAATTTGCGTCACACTTCTACGTTGTTGATCTATTTGTAGCTTCCATTGTAGTAAATGTATTGGGTTAATCTGTTAAGAAAACAATACTACAACAACCTTAACTGACAAAATTTGCACTTGCAACTGACTTCCAGTAAGAGAGAATTTGCTGCTGCCTCTAGTGAATATCCTTACTTCTATGACAAAACCATTATCAAAAAGTCTAATGCTACACTTGCCTTTCACAATTAGCTGATTAACAGTTGTTTCTAGTGTACGACACCTCTATATACAAGCTACTGGAGTAAAACCAACACGCAACCCAGTCATCTATCGACACCTATCTGACGATCAGGCGTGTAACAGTGTACTAGGACACTGTAGCCAGTATTTCGCACGTCTGAGAATATGGAATTCGAAAGAAGCCTATTTTGACCGAGACGGAGATCGCTGCGTGTTCGATCACGTTTTTAGTAGTTTGGAAAAAAATGGCATTCTTTCAGATTTAACTCATTTGAACAGCCGTACTTGAATTTTCTTTACGTTAATTCAAAGACAAATCTCGGTCCTTCAATCCTTTGTTTTAATAATGATTATGACGGAACTCTGAAACGTTTCCTAATAAGGAATTACCTGGGGAATATTGAAATCTCAGCAAAATATGAAAGCAAAGAAAATATGAATTACAAAAGAGATGGAATGATCGTTAATAATTCCCGTTTTACTAAGGGAAACATGGTAGTAGTGTCGTGTATACCTATGCTCTTGCGTCAGATTCTCGGATGGATGATCACAAAAATGTCGGTAGCTCGTGGAGACGTTTATTTCGTCCTGTGGACATGTAGAGAGGAACCCTCCCAATTCGTCTAAAACAACAAATAAGCAGGGGACTAGCCTGTTCCAGCGCCGTTCAGATAGTGTAACAGGCTAGGTCGGGATCGTAATTTGGATCATGACGATTTGTTTGAATACCGGTAACAAATAGTTCCAGTCATTTTTCGGTGCTCGTTAGATTCTACCACTTTTTACCAATCCACTAATAGCCTGCCACCATGCCACTCCAGTCATTTGAGAGCCCCCGGACTAAATTATAGAACTGTAGCCGCTCATATTTTAGATCTCGGTGATAAGTTGAGAAAGAGTTTGCAGTTTTAACCAGACAAGAAACCTTTCAGACCATTAGTAAATGCAGTTTTAAGTGTTTTGGGGTATATATGGCACTTTGTATCTAATTTTATTAATTACGGGCAGTATCAACGTCATTAACACTATTTTTAAGGCTGAGAAAATCTGAGAACATTCTGGCCGGTATGTGGTAATTTTTGACAACTAAGACCTTTTATACACAAGCCATCTCAACTGTTCTTCCAGCCGTTATATTTTATCGAAGGGTAAAAACCGCGTGTCATGCTTTAGCCTTGCGTGACGCAAATTACCAAAATAACTTCTTGATGTAATGTTTTTAAATATTTTTCACACCTTTCATACAACGTGCAAATAACTGGAATAAATTGCTCAACAAGCGGATCACAGTTCTATTGTGAAAAGACAGATGTCGAAGCCAATCTAAACAACATTAAATCACACATTTCAGGTCTTAACAGCGAACTATGATTGACGAAAATGAAATTATCACAAAAAACGGTGCAAAGCCACGAGCAAATGTGGTGCGCACGGTGGACGGTTACGGTCGATTTGTCGTGAATTGTCATATCGTTTACCTCAGCTGATTTCGGTTCACACAAAAGCCTTTCCTCGGGGCAAATGTCTGTCTTCAATTGATATTGTATGAATGATTTGGCAACGTATTAGATCAATATGCATTTATGTATATTTTCTGTATTAAATGCCGTATTTTGAATGCGGCCTTGTAAACAAAATACAGCTGCCTGAGCAATCCGTTTTAAAAAAGTCTCTGAGCAAATTGGCACTTGAATATTACAAAAGAGAAAAAAATTGCTGGATCTTGATGCTTGATATCCTACTGAAGGAGACCGGAATTTAAAGCACGATTTATCAAGTTTTCTAACATAAAAAGCATTGCATTGCTGCATGAAAAACGCCTATATCTATGACTTCAAACCAAGGTAGATTCGATAAAATCGCATTTTGCTAGCTCCAGTCAGTGGGCAAAAGGAAACCTGCGTTTCAAGAGAGACTCTACCTCGCTCATAAATTCATCTGGGAAAACTCCAGCATATTTTTGTAACTCGGCTGTACGCATACTTGCCAAACAAAACGCATCGCATTGTTCACTATGAGAAGTGTAAGGTATCAAGGAAATTGTCAGCTCTGCCGGCACGTGATTGGCGAATGAGTGAAATTGGCTTGCAGGGGGCGTGCGGCGGACCAATTAGCATGCACGATCATTGTTTCTGTACAGAACTCAACATCACAGGCACGGTTGAATTGAAAGCAATTTTAGCTTTTCACGTTTCCGCCTTGCTGGATAATGCCACGACGAGTAGCCTTAATGTGTTCGAAACTTCGCTTGGAGGAATTTTCTCGACCAAAATGACTATTTTTTTCGCTCACTAGACACGAGATATGAGTAGATCGCAAGAAAATTCGGCCCTTTTATCGACAAAAGTACACAGTATAGATGCGAAGACGGGCAGTACGCGGCAACAGTTCGCCCATGAGGTATCAACAACAAATGCGATCTTTCGTCCGTCGAAGGTCTTTCCGTCGTTGTCGACACAGGAAAACAGTTCGAAAGCTGCATCTTATTCCTCAGCAGAAGCAGGACTTGGTAGGAATCCAGAACAGTTTATCCCGCAACTACAAGCTCACTATTATCCGCCAACAGTCCCGACTGCGGGTAAGTCTCGTAGTTTTCTTCGTATGTTCAATTATTTATTGTATGAGTTCGTGCAAACCTAAGGCAGCAAACGGCTCTTATTATTTTTCTGAGTGTGCACTCGTGAGGAACATAACAACAACCACCACCGTTTGGCGTTTCAGTAATTTTTCGTGCATGATCGAAGGGGCGAATTTAGGATTATTCCATCGATAGACTTAGCAGTCTACGTAATCGACATTCAAAACGTTTTACCATGCATGGCTTGTTACCTTGGCTGATATTAGCTCGGTTGCAACGGCGCACAAATAACAACGATAAATTTGATTTTTCTGAATTATAAAACCAGCGGGTGTACGGAATTTTCGGGATAGTGGCAGTTTCAAAGCGTTTTGTGTGTCCTTGCTTGTCGCAAGTTGAAACGACTCCATGTGGAATCTGGACTTGCGATATGTTAGGCGAGTCAAGTTACGACCCTAGCAATCCTCTCGTATAGAGTTATTCTTACCTCGTGAGGTATACGTGACTAAACTCAACCTTAAATTGGATGGCTAAAAGATAACATTTACGGCTAGCACATTTGCTGTATAATAATGCATGGTTGATTCTGTCCATAAATTTCTATTTCGAGTTTTCGAACATGAAATCGCAAAGGGTGATTCCTTTCAGTTGCAGATCTCGCTCTCACATACACTGATTTTTGCGTCGTGTAGTGTTTATTAAATGCAAAGTCATGCTTGACGGAGGCCCTTCCTTGCAAAAGCAAGCGATAAGAAACCTAGCAATGCTCCTCTTAGTTTTGTTAATAAATTTTTGTCGAAGGATGTATAAACTTTGTCTGTCTGTCTCGTTTACCGCGTCAAGCATTTGAAGTGTTATACATTGCGACAATATCTACCTCCATGTGTTGCTACAGAGTGCAGAATTTTGAATTTTTCCATTCTTACAAAGCGTGGGCGAGCAAAATAAAAATACTAAAAACAGTCCAAAATGTTTTCTGTTCCGAACGCGATCTCTTTCAATCAGAGAAATCGTTACCCCCTTAATCGTCTGTGGCGTGGCTGTTCGTTGTCAATTCACTTCCTCAAAGGCGTCGACGAAATTGAGTTGCAACAACCGCGGAAAGGAAAGGATCTTTTAAACTAACCTGCCAAAGGCTACTATTATACTTATTTATTACAGGAAAATTAACAATGTGTGGATTTTACCGATAAAATACAGTCTGCTGGATTTTGATGCCATCGCCTTCGCGCGAAATTAGAGACGCCACACGCGATCTGGTGATATAGAGCGCGTGATGTGGACTGCATATGAGAGATATTCTTTCTTAGAGCCTTTGATATTTCATGCCACTTTGTTTATGTAAAAACCTTCAGTTTGCCTGCTCTGTTTTGATTTGTGTGACGGTTTTTTTTACGAAATTTGTAATGTTCAAGTTACTGCTTAATGCGCCTTTGTGTTTTTGCTGGGAGATAGATAGCTTCTCTTGTCCGTGACTCCGCCGTGTGTGTTTGCGGAAAATACTGTGCTTTGCTTTATCTCGTGAAATACTGACTGTTTCCTTATTTATTTATGTATGTATGTATGTATGTATGTTACCACGGATTGACAAAAATCTCGACACAGGCTAAGACCCTGCTAAAGTAGCGTTCGATGATGTTGTACGTGCTCAGTACAATTCGAGAGAGACGTTTCAGCGGGACGAACGATCATTGCTTGAAAGGTTCTCGGATGTTCTTATATCTGCTCTACGGTTATTTGATATTTTGTTAACGTAGATAATTTTCCTTTGCCACTGTCTCAACACTCAGGGAAAATTAACGATCTGTTAAAAATTCGGCTGGTACGGAGTAAAACAGCGCTTGTGGGCAGGTCGCGATATGCTGCGCATTCATCTTTCGTTGGCGTGGAATAATTGAGCGCGAATAATAGAAGTGTGTGCTGGTGACGACCTTAACTTTTTGCTAGGTAACCGCAGCAGTCACTCGCATAAACTATAATCTTCTCGAGGATGAAAGATCGAAACGGAAAACGAGTCCAGGATCGTCTCCTCAGAAATTGTTTCAAAAAGAAAATATATTCTTTTAAAGTGAATTCTAATTTTCCCAGGCTGTAGTCACAAGTGCATCTGTTTAGTGTATATGTAGGTGCGAAACCACTTTTTAGTGAGCAAGGTGCCGTTTATTTTGTAAAACAGTTTTGATAATTTTTGGTTGAGTTGTCCTCCGAGTTACGTATAGCGTCGTCACTTTACTCCCTAGCCCTCGTAATTGAAAACCTAGGCATTTTCAATTTACTCATATAACCATAACAAATACCAGACGTTAGAATGTTGACATCCGTTTGAATTGAGTTGTGTCGATGGGCACCCGTGAATAGAATAAATTGCTTTCAGTTAAGCCAACTTTCTTGGGGTAGAGTGGGGTAGAGTGACTTTTACCACAAAGGCGCTCTTCCACGAAAAACGCATTCGAAGTAGCCGAAGCCTACCCGTGCCATGGTTTGATTTATCGAAGTTACTCATCGTGTCGCTGTTTCCATTGTAATTTAGATCAGTCCTCGCGCATCCTTAAGCAGAACGTGCATTGTCACTGTGTGTTTAATGTATAAATAGACCGTACTCTTATTGGAATGCAAATTCACGCCACTTGCCAGATCGGCTGTCGAGTTTTAGCTTGTTTACATTATTTGGAGCTTTAAAAGATCCCCGCTCTTTCTCGAAGACTTAAACACAGAGACGATTTCTGTGGCTGTAGATATTTCCAAGCATGATAGCAATGCCAGAAAAAATTCCTCAATGGATTGATACTGAAAGTCTGAAATGCGCTTAAAGCCCATTTAAAATGTTACGTCATACCAATCTTTTATGAACTATGATCTCCATCTAAACTACAAGAGACCTTTGTTTGAATTTGTTTGGAAAACACAATTTCAGGGTTTTTTTCCGGGTCTTCTGATCCGACTTTATTACTATAAACGTGCTTGAAACATGTTTTTAAATGTAAAAGCCTTATGTAATGAAGAACGTATTTCCAGCTGAACGGACGTTAACCTCGGCAACATCTTTTGGAGCAGCTGGGATATGAGAGGCTGCATTTCCTTTGCAGTTGAACTGAGGTTTTCCTCTTGGCAAACTGCCCTTTGAACGGCTTTTCACGGAACGGAAGATAAATTAACTGACTGTGGATAAGGAACATTCGAAAGAAAAACAAAAAAAGAACAGCTTTTTTTTCTGGGAACCGCAACGAAAGTGAAAAGCACATGCCCACGTTCCTCTTGTATATCAGCTATCAGTTAATGAGCTAGATTTCAAAATTGACAGCTTTAAGAAAATTATATTTTAAAAGGTCTGAAAGCAAACAGAGCAGAAAAGTACAATTCAAAAGCTTACCACTGGAAGGTTGTAGTCATCGTTGAAAAAACACCTCAATGGAGACATTATCAGTACTTGTTGTACAGAGCCAACCTCGAGAGAGGGATAGAGAATTGTGTAAACCACCTCGAAAATCTTAATTCATACTCCATTCAAAACGTAATTGTGCCCAATTGCTTTTATTTGGGAAAGTCTCGTTTGTTTTTTTCTGTCTAAAACGTCGGAGCAGGAGCCGCCTTTTGGAGCATTGAAAACGTAACGCTTCTGAAAACATGGTGTTTTCATTTACTCGTCTTGTCTTTCACTGATAGACTTATTCAGAATTCAAAACTACAAGATCTCAGATAAAACGTTAAAGCGCCCTTTTAATCCTGATTTAAATCGAGTTTTCCCTTGGATTTTCAATGCACTTTCAATTGCCGTAGTTTCTAACGATTGTTCCCTGGCTTGCTTACTTAGAAAACAAACTACTAAATTAGCTAGGAAAAATTAAAAAGAGTATTATTCGTACTCCATGGTTCTTTTTGTCGATTAAGTTCGATCTTATACAAAACCTTTAGTTGATCAGAAACACGTTTGAGCTTATTTGCACTCGCCGCTATATTGGATGAAAACCGTAATCTTCAAAAACAACTAGTGCCTATGGGGATATTTCTAAGAGTGAAGAAGAGATATGAAGTCACTGGACGTACGCTTATTTCCATGAGTAAATTATTATAATAAACTGTACTTTTCTTTCCCTTGACGTTTCCGTTTAACTATTAACCTAGATTAGTCACCAGAACTCACGATGTATTTTTTTACATAGAGGATTCGGTAGATATCTTATCTACGAAAAACTGTTTTCATACCACATGCAGCTCTGTTTAATATCGTTTGTTGTGGTTTTGAATAATCGGCGATCATTAAAACCCTTTTCACTGACCGAGAAAACACCACCGTATATTTGTGTCCGTAGTACGTATTTTTAGAAACTTTTTGTTCTTTGACCGTCAAGCACAGTTTGTCCGTTGTAGTTTTCTGGAAGAGGTGTATAAGCAAGACAAAATGTAATATTCACTATTTGTGAAACGCATCATGCGATATTATTGTCCTGTTCAGTTACCTTGTCAGTGGTTGTTCACATTTCCGAGAGATCGCGCGTTCAAAGATTTTTCAATCTTGCATGTTGTCACTGAGCCTTAAAACGAAAATAGCAGCGAAAAAAGTTGATAAAAATGTTATTAAAACTGTTATTAAAATGAAATAAGCTTTGACAAATGCAAAATGCGACCGTTTATTAAAGGTTATGTTTCGCGTTATTCAGTGGCGTGTCGGGTCTTGCGCGCGTGTTAGTTAAAGCTTTCTAAACTTGAGTTTCGTAAGGTGCTGATCGCAAGTTCAGTATTTTGCCTCTCTGGTCTATTGACAGGACGAGACCTGCAGGTACCCGGCCGCCAATTGTGTTAAAAGTGTTTTCGAAAGCCATGCAAGACGATGTCATAAGCATTAATTTGTTCAAATAACACGTGCTAAATAAAGGTTTCCATTTGCCCTCGAAATACTGAACTCAGACTTCGAACGTAAATTGTCGTCTGCGAATATAGGGCAAGTATGTGTTGCACAGCGAAAAAAGTTGTCAACGTCAGATCTTGTTTACAACACACGATAAAGACTAAAAGTGCCTGAGCAGAAAATTTGAATAAAGGAAAAGATTTACATAATAATTATCAAACCTCTATGGAGTGCTCCCGCTGTATTCCGTAGCTTATTTGCGCGTTTCGCCTTTTTTTATGTGTGTATATGTTAAGTGGCGTTCAAAAGACTTGACCCCTTTGTCCGTAAGAAACATGTGTCTTCTCGGTTTCCTCAAATTTTGATTAATGTGGACTTTAATCGTGACAGAACATAGGTAGCAGATTGTTCTTGAAGCTGTGTTCAAGCAGGTAAGTTTAAAGTCGTACGCCTATGTCAGCTACACGCTCCATCAAAACAATGATTTTTTTGTTGCGTTTGTAGCCGGTTCCTTTTTAAACTGTGCATGGAGAGTTTGTACTAAACTAGGTTGAAACTACTGAATGTGGAATTGAGCTTTTGTACTTTGTAAAAGATTCGGTAAAATTCTTGTCGGGAATCTATATCACATAATGTTTATTTGGACTGCCTCATGTTGGAATAAGTTATTCCGCTGAGTGTTTCACGAGACAATTATTTTGAAAATGTGAAGGCCTTTTGTCGGTGGAAAAGCGATCGGGTGCTTAAATGGTGCATAGACGAAATATTTTTCACTCAGGCGTCGAGTGTACTCTGTCTTGGTGAATATTTCAGGCGTATTCTTAATATTCGATAACCTGACAGATAAGTCGACATACTACCAACTGAATATTTCCAGTCGAAGATCTTTCCTTAGTTTTTCACCTCATTATTTTTGTCATTAAGATTTTCCTCAGTTTGTCCGTATTTACTTGTTACTGCCGCCGACCGATATTTGTACATCTTCATTTAATAAAGTCAGCTTGCTTTCTCGCTCTTTCCTTTTACGAATATTTAAGTCGATATGTATTTTTGTGTACAAAAATAGATAGAACGTTAATGCTTCTTCGTACAAATCCGGAACCTTTCTGTCCAGTATACGTAAAGCGTAATTCTGTTCTATTTTAA